ATTGTGCAGAAGGAGCTTTGTACTCCGTTTAGCGTGGGCGGGCCTGATTGCGAATTGAGTATCACACGTGGGATGGCCTCCAAAGAATCGATATCAAATGTACTTTTTGACGCTTTTGGTGCTATCTATGCCACGTTTTTCTTATAATACCAGCTCGGCGGCTGCGACAGCCCCGCTCGCGATTAGCAGAATGAAATGTTACATGAGATGCATAGATTTAGGCTTGCTGTGGAATCGGGTCCAGAGTTCGACGGTGTGCCTCTTGAGAATGCTATTTTGGGATGTGGAGTCCACAACCTTCACATTTACGATAGGAGCATCGTTATGGGCTCGATACCATATTGGGATATCACGTTAGGAGAGGTAAGTACCTTCTTGCTGCGAACTTTATCATTTCTGTCTTCAATGCTACACATTGGGCTGTCTTTCCCTGCGCAGTATCCATTAGTCGACAACGGCGCTCATGTTTTGGGGGGAGAGCCTTAGCCTAAAGGAGGGCAAGATCCTGGGAGAGGTGTGAGCAGTGATGAGCATGTGACCATGTTCTTCCTGGCATGCCGCCCCTCTTTTGCGTTTAGTCCCAGTGTCACCTACCAGTGGTTTCTGAACGCCCTATTTTCCATGCCCCCCAGGGCATGAGCGCCTCGACAACTATACAGCAAGCACAATTTTATTGATAATTGTTAAGGGTACGTTCACTTTGCAAAGAGACGACATCGTGGATGTTTCTGACGAGAAGTGTAGTCGTTTCCCCGATCGCTGTTGATTCTGGTGAGACTTGCACTGCTTTCAGAAAAAATTTCCTGTTAATAAAAATACTTCCCCTCGACTGATCGTTTTTTTTGCATCAAAAATTTTCCTCCTGGCTACATTTGTTACTTACTTCACTTTTGTCCTTAATGGCGCTTTCACGTTTTCTTGGAGGGCTGGGTCGCATTTCGACAGGGTCCGAGACTAAAAGTTGGTTTTGTTCGGTCAAGTTCCACTTGGTTTGAAATTTGTAGGAACAGTGACTTTTTCTCATGAGGGGTACCGTTCCCTACAACACGGATTCATGGAAGTCTTTCCTACTATAAAAGCATTTCCTCCAGTGATCAGGTAGCAGTGGGGTGAAATTGTGAGCGATTACGCAATCATTTTTCTTGATTATTCCGTCTATGGGCTAATTTAACCCGCTCCCTGAAACCGCCCCAGTTTCTTGTTCCCATCTTCACTATCACCACACAGCGGCTCATGAATACTGCGGTATCATACTCAAACTTTCCCCACATTGTAATTGGCGCACCCACTCCATC